TTTCTGACTTGCCCACTACAGTATAAGCTCTGTGAGGGTAAGGACTTCGTCTTGTTCACTGCTGTACCCCAGGGCCTAGAACTGTGCCTAGCACCTAGCTGGGGCTCAGAGAGGAGCTGCTGAAGAGACAAAGCTGCTCCGTCGCACCTCCTGTGTGATAATCATTCATTCAGCCATTCACTCATTCAGCAAGCCTCTGCCACCTGCTCTATGCCCAGCTCTGCCCTTCTTTGCAGGGGTCCAGTCTGGCAAGGGCAGAACAGAGTGCAAGGCCATCAAGACAGGGTTGGGGTGAGGAGTGAGGGGCCTCTGAGTCGGTCTGGTGTGATGGGCAGAGAAAACTGAGCTGGGCTTGAGGATGGGGAGGCACTCTCTAAGTGGAGACATTTGATTGTGGCTTTTCATACCCTTCCTCCTACCCCCCAAGACCAAGGCCAAACAGAGGGCAGGACTGGGGACGAGTCTCCAAAATCTAGAGTTGGCACAGGCATAGAGCTAGCCCCAGGCCTCAGGAGCTGGGCTCCATGAGTCTTCCCGGGATGGGGTGGGGGTGATGCCGGTTCCAGTTTTTAAAAAGATGAGAACCTTAAAAGAAAGGAGGAATTTGGCCACCCTGGGAGGCCGAGGAGCTGCTCCCTTGAATATCCATCCTGAGCCACTGTGGGTCCCAAGGTTGCCGGGCAGAAGCCAGCCCGGGCAAGCTTCTCCAGCCCAGGACCCCGCTCCCACCCGCACAGCCCCCAGTCATCCCTCCTTGAGGGCGACATTGAAGGTGGCTTCCTGGAGGCCTGACTGCAGGGGTGCCAGCCTTTGTCCAGCCAAGGATAAAGGGAAGAGTTGCCTGCCCTATTATTCTTTCTGCAAGCAGCAGGAAGGGCAGAGAGCAAAAGGCAGTGAGACTGAGAGCGTGTGTGCCGCCAGTCGCAGACTGCTGGGGAATTAACCAGCCCTGTCCATTTGCCCCCAGTCTGGATTCCTCAAGCCCCAGCCTGGAAGGTTCTAGGGCATTAAAGGCTTCTTTTGGCTGTAAGTCAGGGGCCCCCCACCTGGCAGGAAACTGGGGGTCCTGAGATCTGTCCCCTCTCCCTCTGCCCTTCTCCAGCCAGTTCCTGGGCAGGTGGGAGATGGGTCTCTACTCTCTGTCTCTCTCTCTCACACATACACACACTCTCACACACTCACTCTGGCATAGAATCCTGATTCTGCCGCTCATTAGCTGTGTGACCCTGGGCAATTTACTTAATTTCTCTGGATTCTGGTTCTCCCATCTGTAAAATGAGCTTCATGACCCTGCTCACCTGCTGCCAGGGTTAAGTGGGCGAATAGAGGAGATGGGCACATTTCCGGGGGAAGGGAGCCCTGCTCCTTAGCTGGGTGAGACTCTGGACCCCCACCCACCCAGTCAGGGCAGGATTCCTGTGGCTGCAGCGACTCTGGAGGGCTGCCAGTGCCCTCCTGGGCCCCTCTGGCTCTGACCTTTGCTTCCGCCAGCTTAGTCCTGTTGGGGGATGGACTGGCTGGCCTGCCCAGGGCTGGCCTCGTGCACATCAGCTCCGAGGGTGATTCATCCCTTTCTTCACATCCCCACATGGAAAGCCCCACTCTCACAAGGCATCTAGCAACTTTCCTGGGGGCTTGTGGGGAGAGACGACTGGAGCCTCCCTTCTGGGGGCTCCCTCTCCCTGTGACCCCACCTCCTCATCTTCTCTCCTCTCCCTTCACTCTCTACTCTCTTCCCTTCGAAATTTCCAGTTCTCCCTTTCCCAGTCCAGCCACAACCCTCCAGAGGGCTCTGGGTCCACCTTGGCCTCTCTGGATACATCACGTGCCGGCCCCACGACATTTGGGAGGCCCAGTATTTGGCCTATCTTTCCTCGGCACCTGACTCCAAATCCTCTCCCTGTTTCACCCACAGTCAGAATTTCTGGACCTTTCCATCCTTTATCATGTCCTTAAGCCCTGGCACAGGCCTGGTACCCAGTAGATGCCTAATAAAAGCTCTTGGATTGTTGAAGTTCATTTTCTGCCATTGATTTTCTCCTATTCCTAGCTCCTATCCTGGTGGGCTGCTCCCAGGGCCTGGTTCTTAGGCATCCAGGGTAACTCTTGGGCTAAGAGCAGTCCCCCTCTATGCCCCAGGGGACTGTGCTCTTAAGGGGCACAGGGCGGCCAGTGTGAGGGTATCTCAGGCCATCCCCTCCCTGCGCTAGTAGATGGGGTCACTCTGCCAGTTTGGAATCCTAGAAACCTTGATTCGAGTTTTTGAATCTTAGAATCCAGAATCGTACTTAAGAGTACAGAGTCTGGAGCCCGTACCCGGGAATTCAAATACTAGCTCTAATACATATTAGCTGTGTGACCTTGAGCAAGTAACCTGACTTCTCTCTGCCAATGCTTGCTCATCTGTAAAATAGTAGTGACAATTTACAAGCCTGTGGAAAGGATCAAATGCGTTAATATTTGTCAAGGGCTTAGACCAGGGCCTGGCACAGATAAACACTCTGTAAGTGTTTAAGAAATAAATTAGCGTGAATTTTGGGGATATTGGAATCTTTATTTCTGTGCTCTTAGGATCTGGAAAGGACCTCATCTCATGTCCTAGGGCAGGAATCCTGCCCCAGCTTCCTTTAGTCCCAGCTTGCCTGTCCCCATTGACAGATGCTCTCTACCCTTCCAGCCACTAGAATTGCTAGAAAGTTCTCCTAGGGGATGGAGGTGAGTCTGGGCTTCTCTGCCCAGCAGCTGCTGGAGTCAGGAGTGGGGGCCCAACATGGGTTGGGCTTTGTCTCTGGGGGCGGGGATAGGGAGCCTGGCCCAGCTGTCAGGTGGGTGCACTAGGGGATTCCAGGCCGGGGCCCATCTCACCTTCATCCTGGCAGGAGCTTGGCAGGTCCCTGCTCCCAGGGCCTGGCGGGGCCTAATGAGTGTGTGCGGCGGCTGCAGCCTTCTGCAAATACCAGGCACAATATAAATAGCAATAATGAATAAATGAAGCTCCTGCAGCCAGTGAGGGCCTCCAGGATGGACTGCCGCAGCCTTGCTTCTTGTGGAGACCTGGAGTTGCAATCCCATCCCCCAGCAGGTTTGACGGTCACTCCTCATCAACACTTCTTCCATGATCTCTCCATGTCCGCAGAGCCCATCCCTCTGCTTAGCGGTGGGGTGGGCAGAAGAGGGAAGGAGTGGACAACAGGCTTTTGTTGAAGCATAAAGCAGGTTGGACATAAAGCAGGACTTCCTGCCGGTGTGGATACTTCAAGGAGGCTGGGGAGAGGGTGTTAGTCCTGCCGGGACAGGGAAGGGACTAGGGTCATGGAGGGGGGCAAATTTCTCCTTAAATCTGAAAAAGAACTTTAGATGATCAGAGATGCCCAGAGAGCAAAGGAGCTGCCCCAGGAGGTGGTGGGATCTTCGTCACCCCAGGTATGCAAGATGGGGCTGGGCAGTTGCGTGGGAGGCTATAACTGAAAAGACCCAGTCCTGAGAACTCACCATCTGGTGGCTTCTCAGGGTCCCAATCAGCCTTTGAACTTAATGAAAATGTTGCCAGAGGAGAATGGAGAGAAAGCGAGCAGTACTTGGCATCTTCTCCCTGCCTTGCTGCCTGTTGCCTTTCACTGTCCCAGGCCTGGGGCTGTCCAGCTGGGCACTCGGCCGGTCAGGGCACTGGGAGCCTACTTGTGCCACCTTATTCCTACCTCCTTGCCTTTGCATGTGTCTTTTCTCCCTCCTAGATGCCATTTCTCTACCCTACCTCCTCTCTTATTTCAGTCCTACAAGCCTTCGAGGCCCAGTGTAAGCCTCTGGCCTTTGATGGGGCCTTCCCTGAGACTCCTGATCTGAAGCCCACTCTGCTCTGAAATAAATCCGTCCCACCCGTGGACACCTTCTGGCCTGCTCCATCCATGCTTCTGAGACCTTGCATAGCCTGGCGTGTGCTCATGTGACCTTGTACTGTGGTCTGGTGACAAAGATTTGCCTTGTCTCCCTGGACAGATTAAAAGATGAATATTTGTTGAACACCTACTATGTGCTGGGCATGGTGCTAAGCCCTTTTTAAACTGTTCTCATTCTGCAAAGTGTGAACTTTTATCTCCATTTCACAGATGTGGAACCTGAGGCTCAGAGACTTCATGGGGCTTGCCCAAGGCTCTCAGTCAGGAAGTGGCTGAGCTGGGATCAGATCTGAGGGTATCTTCCTCCAAAGCTCTGCCCATCTGCCAGACCAAGTAGTCCCAGGGCAGGCCTCAGTATCGATCTCCTTCACAGCCCTAGCCCAGCAGGGTGCCCCTCACATTCTTCAAGGAGATGAGGTGGGGGTGGAGAGCTGAGCTGAGGTTTCTGACCTCGCAGGCTCCTGTGGCCCAGGGGAAGTGGAGAGGCTGGGGCATTTGCAGTTGGAAAAAGAGGCATCTGTTCCACCTGGAGGCTCTCTTGGAAGCCTTCCTGGAGGAGGAAGCTTTTCTGTCAAGCCTTTAGGCTGGGAAGAAGCAGAGTATGGATGAGAAATGGGAGGTTGTCTGGGCTGTGGAGTGACCTTTGGAGCTGAGTTCCAGCCGGGATCCACCGTGTAAGAGCTGATGGTCTTAGATGGGCAGCCCCTCACTGGGGCAGTGAAGGCCTCCCTCCCGCCTTCTCACAGCATCTCAGGGAGAATCCGGAGTGTAATTTGGCCAACCAGGCACCTGGGACTTGGGGGTGGTCAGTAATGGGGTCCCTCCCTTTTTATGCATGACGCAGCCCCCATGTTGAGGGGGTAGGACCCTCCCCCAGGCACGACCCGGGATTTAAAGGAGGTGGCCACAAGGCTGGGGGCTTCCTGCCCTCTGGGGAGAGGTGGGGGCTCACCGGCCGCCGCCGTCAGTCTGTCTGTCGCCTCCACGCCTCCCCCCTACAGCGTCCCGCGCCTGCAGCTTTCCCCGAAGACATTTGGTGTCAGTATAAGGACGGCTTTGCCTCGCACGCGGCGCGGCT